CAGCGCCCCCGGGTGCCCGCGGGGCGCCCCTGCCACATCCCCGTCACTGGGAGCAGCGGCGAGTGGGAGACGGATTTTGGGCTGGCAGCTGGGTGGCCTCAGCGAAGGGGACATGATGGTGACACCGACACCACCGTGATGGCCGGAGGGGACCAACGGCGGCTGCCGGTTTTCAGCTCCCCAAAACCGCAGCGGGGCAGTGCCTCTCTGGCCTCTGCTGTCACCGGGTCACCGGTGACACCCCCAAGACCACCCCATGCATGGCACCCACCAGTGACCCGGTGAGTCTGGTTGTCCCCACCCCAGGGATGCAGCTGGGTGCTCAGCACCCCAACCCTGTGCTGCAAACGCCACCATGTCCCTTGCATCTGCAGGTCCCTGGCCACTGTGTGCCCCAGGGACACATCCCTGGTCACCAGGTGCCCCAAGGACATGTCCCCATTCACTGGGATCCCCTGGAACACACCTCCAGCCACTCGGCATCCCAGGGACACATCCCCAGTCACTGAGAGCCCCAGGGATGTGTCATCAGTCACCAGACACCCTAGAGATATGTCCCTGCTCCCTGAGGACCCCAAGGACATGTTCCTGGCCAGCAGGCACCCCAAGGATGTGTCAGCAGTCACCAGGCATCCCAGGGACGTGTCACCGGCCACCCAGCCCCCCAAGGACCCATCACCAGTCACCAGGCACCAGAGGGACACAATCTTGGCCACCAGGCACCCTGAGGACACCACCCTGGTCAGCAGGAGCCTGAGGGACATGTCCCCGGTCACCAGGCGCCCCAGGGATCCATCACCAGTGACCAAGCATCAGAGGGACATGTCTCCAACCAGCAGGCACCCAAGGGACACTTCTGCAGTCACCAGGCACCCCAAGGAGAAGTCCCCAGCCACTGGGCACCGCAGGGACAAGTTCCTGGCCACCAGGTACCACAAGGACATGTCTCTGGTCACCAGGCACCCCAGGGACCCATTACCGGTGACCAGGCACCCAAGGGACATGTTCCTGTCCAGCAGGTACCCTGAGGACTTGTCACCAGCCACCAGGCATCCCAAGGACACACTCCTAGCCACTGGGCACCCGAGGGACACATCCCCAGTCACCAGGCACCCTGAGAAGATGTCCCCAGTCCTCAGGCACAGCAGGTACAAGTTCTTGGGCACCAGGTACCCCAAGGACATATCCCCAGCCACCAGGCACCCCAGGGACACATCACCAGTGACCAGGCACCCAAGGGACACATTTCTGGCCACCAGATACCCAAAGGACATGTCACCAGTCACCAGGCATCCCAAGGACACATCCCCAGCCACCAGGCACCCCAGGGACACATCCCCACTCACCAGACACCCTGAGGAGACGTCTCCGGTCCCTGGTCACCACAAGGACACATTCTTGGGCAGCAGGTACCCCAAGGACATGTTACTGGCAGCCAGGCACCCTAGGGACCTATCACCGGTGACCAGGCACCCAAGGGACATGTTCCTGATCACCAGGTACCCAAAGGACGTATCACCAGCCATGAGGCATCCCAAGGACACATCCTCAGCCACCAGGCCCCCAAGGGACACATCCCCAGTCACCAGGCACCCTGAAGAGATGTCCCTAGTCACTGGTCACCAGAGAGACATGTTCTTGGGCAGCAGGTACCCCAAGGACATGTCCCTGGTCACCAGGCACCCCAAGGACATGTTCCTAGCCACCAGGCACCCCAGGGATGCATCACTGGTGACCAGGCACCCAAGGGACATGTTCCTGGCCACCAGGTACCCCAAGGACATGTCCCCGGCCACCAGGCACCCAAGGGACAGGTCCCCGGTCACTGGGCGCCTCTCGCCGGCATTCAGCGACGGAGTCCTCACGCCGCAGCGGGTGGCTGAGGACCTGGAGATGGACCAGGACACCACCCGCCCCAGGTACACCCCGTCCCCCTGGGAGACCACCATGGTGGCAGCATCCCCCAGTGCCAGCAGCATCCTTGCCGTGTCTCCCTGCAGCCCTCCAGCACCAGCCACGCCACGGTCCTTCTCACCACCACACACCTATGGCTACATCTATGGGCCACCAGCCTCCGAGCTGGGTGAGGAAGAGGAGGAGGAAGAGGAAGAAGAGCGGCCAGCAACAAGGGGCTCGCCAGGGGGTTCGCTACTGAACGGCTGGGGGTCTGTCTCGGAGGACAACTTCGCCAGCGCCCGCTGCAGCTTGGTGAGCTCCTGCGACGGCTCCTTCCTCCTGGATGCCAGCTTCGCCCGGGCGCTGGCCGTGGCCGTTGATGGCCTCTGCTTCAGCCTCGAGGACACTGATGGAGCCTATGGGGGTGAGTGAAGGGTCCCTGGAACCCCTCCTCTGACCCCAAGCATTGTCACCTTCTTGGGGAAGGTGGCCCCATCATGACACCATGGTGATGCCACTGTCCTGCCTTCTCCCCAGCAGGTCCCTCACCACCACCATCACCCTTGGAGGGGGTCTTCTTGCCCGTGGTCCCCATCCCCACCTGGGACTGGGGGACGGCACTGGAGGTCCCATGGAGAGTCGGGACAGAGGCGGCCACAGGCATCCCGCAGCACGGTGAGCAGTGCCCTGATGCTGGGGTGATGGGCACCGGGGATGGTGCAGGGTGTCACCCATTGTGGGGTGCTGGAAAATGTCCCCTTTTCTTTCCAGGTGGCCACAGGTCGGGGAGTGGCAGTCCCTGGGCCAGCGTGAGTGGCGAGCCGGGCACAGGAGGGACAGTGGCGTGGCAGTCCCCAGGGTGTAGGACACAGCAAGGCCAGAGTCCCCTCAGCTCAGCTAAAATCCAGCTTTATTAAGCAGTTCCCCAAAAAGGGGCTTTCTGCTAGCAATAGCCACCTGTGAAGGGTGGGTGGCACTGGGGTGGGCAGGTGTCCCTCCTTCCCCAGCATCCTTGTCCTCCCCAAGTGTCCTCATTCTCCCCCAAATCATCCCCCAACCATCCTCGTCCAGCCCAAGTACCATTGCCCAGCCCAAGTGTCCTCATCCTTCCCCAGTGTCCCCATCCTTATTCTCCCCAAGTGTCCCCATCCCTCCCCACGTGTCCCCATCCCTCCCCAGCATCCTCATCCCCCCAACCATCTTCATCCAAACCAAGCACCGTTGTTCATCCCAAGTGTCCTTGTCCTTCCTCAGGGTTATTGTGCCCCCTCAGGGTCATTGTCCCCCCACTGTCCTCATCCCTGCTGACTGTCCTTATCCTTGCTGATTGTCCGTGTCCTTCCTCAGCATCCTTGTCCCACCTCGACCATCCTCGGCCCTCCCAAGTGTCCTCATCCCTCCCAAGCCACGTTGTCCTTCCTGAATGTCCTTGTGCCCCCTCTGAGCATCCTTGTCCCTCCTGAGCATTCTCATCCCTCCCCAGCGTCCTTGTCACTGCCCAGGGTCCTCATCCCTTGTGACTGTCCTTGGCCTCCCCAAGCATCCTCATTGCTCCCAACTGTCCTTGTCCCCAGGGTCCTCATCCTTCCTGAGCATCCTCATCCCTTCCCAGCATCCTTGGCCCTCCCAGCTGTCCTTGTCCCCAGGGTCCTCATCCCTCCCTGAGCATCCTCCTCATCCCTCCCGGAGCATCCTTGCGTCTTCCAAGCATCCTTGTCCATCCTCCCAAGAGTCCTCGTCCCACCCCGATCATCCTTGTCCCCCCCCTCGCGCTGCCGCCCACCGTCCGCTGGCTCTGTGCAACCCTATTTACATGGTGCCACTCAGAAATTAAAGAGCATCCCCTCGGTCCCCCCCATGTCCCCATCCCCGTGTCCCCAACCCTGCCACCGTCTCGCCCTCCGCTTCATCGCTTCTCCTGCGATGGGCAGGGAAATGGGGGACCCGGGCGGCAACGATGGCCTGTCCCTTCACCACGGTCCCCCGGGGTCTGGCTGCGTCCCGAGCCATGGCCGCGGGAGCTGGTGGAGCCGCGGGATGAGATGCTGCCCGTTGTGGAGCAGCTGCCGGACACCTGCCCTCGGGGCAGGCAGGAGGGTTTGCCGTAGGGGACGACCTCATCTGAAATGGAGGGGACAAGGTTGGGGGTTGGCAGTGACACCCCCCCCCAATACCACAGCTCCGGCTTACCGCTGCGGGCTGGGCGATGGGTGACCTTGCGCTCGGCCCCACTTGGCTCCCGCTCCGGCAAGGGGACGGGGGTCTCGCCCGGTGGTGGCAGCGGTGGCGGTGGCAGGTCTGCAGCAGAGAGGGAGGAGAGGGCTGAGACCCCCTGACCCCTCCAAGCCCCCCACCATTTCCCCCCCCGCCTTGCTCACCTCCCTGCTGCTTTTCCCGGTGGTAGCGGCTGCATTTGGGCTTCAGGCGACTTTTCGGGGTCTCCCTGCAGGTTTTCCCTGGGGGTGATGGCAGCGTCAGGCCCCCCTCCCAGCCGGTGAGCCCCCCCATCCACCCAAAATGGCCCCCAGGGCTCACCTGTGCCACGGGGGCGGCGGGCTCGGGGCAGGTGGGCCTTGCTGGCATCTGGACTCGGTGGGGGACTGGGTGCCCGCGGGGGGGTGCTGGCGCCGTGGGGGGGTCTCCTGGCAAAGAGGGGGTGTGGGGTGAAGCCGGGGTGCGGGGACCAGGGTAGGGGGCTCGGTGGCCACCATGGTGCTGGCACAATCCCTGGTGCCATGCCGTGCTGGAGCAGGGGAAAGCCGTGTGGTGATGGCACAGCTGGGGGGCAATGGCATGGGTGGGCTGAAGCATCACAGCTGGATTGCAGCTGCATGGCTGGGCTTGCAAAGGGCAGCTGGGTGAGTCCAGCAGCACAGCTGGGTGGGAGAACCACAGCTGGATGGCAGGGCTACATCTGGATCACAGCTGCACGGCAGGATTGCAATGGCACGGCTGGCTGACGGTGGCACAGCTGGAACACAGTGGGATAACAGCTGCTCAGCTGGAATGCAACCGCACAGCTGGGTTGCAACCTCGCAGCTGGATGGCAATCGCACAGCTGGATGGCAACTGCACAGCTGGATCGCACCTGCAGAGCTGGATCGCAGCACTGTTGGATTGCAACCGCACAGCTGGGTTGCAATGGTACAGCTGGCCCCTGATGCCACAGCTGGATTGCAATGGCATGCCAGCATTGCAATGGCACAGCTGGATTGCGATGGCACTGCTGGATCATGGCAGAGGCAGCCATGACAGCACAGCTGGACGGCAACTTCCCAGCCAGCTCGTGATGGTGCAACTGCATCGCGATGGCACAGCTGGATTGTTATGCCACAGCCAGCCCACAGCGTCATGGATGGATCATATGACAGCATGGCCGGAGCACAACCGGACAGCGGGGACAGATGGTGACAACACAGATGGATCACGAAGGGACATCTGCACCATGGCGGGACATCCAGACCCCAGTGGGACATCCAGACCCCGATGGCATGCCGGACCATGATGGCACAGTACGGCTGGATCATGACAACAAAGCTGGATCGTGATGGGACATCTGGACCCCAACGGGACATCTGGACCCCAATGGCACAGCTGGACCATGATGGCACGGCAGGGCCAGATGGTGACAGCACAGCTGGATAACGATGGGACACCCAGACCATGGTGGGACATCCAGACCCCAATGGGACATCCAGATCCCAATGGCATGGCCGGACCAAGCAAGGCCCATCTCCTACCGGGGCAGGCGGGGGCTATCAAAGTCACGGAGCCGGGGGATGTCCTCAGTGGCATGGGGCGATGGTGTCAGTGTGGCGGTGGACCGGCAGCCAGAGGAGGCAGCAGGCGAGGATGCACCGGTGGCACAGGGGACATCCTCACCGGGATACCACTCCTCCCTCCCCAACCTGCAGGGTGGGGGCCACAGGGTGGGTGCTGGGGCCAGCACACCCCAGCCCCCCCAACCCCCCACACTCACCCTCTGGCCGCCTCTTCCTCTTCATCCTCCTCTTCCTCCTCCTCCTCCTCCTGGGCACACTGGCTGAGCTCGCTGGCCGAGGGTGGTGGGGGCAGCAGCTCCGTCCAGCTCACCGCCGGCGGTTTTACCGCTTGCCCCAACTTCTTCCCTTTCGTCCCTGTGGCAAGGAAGGATGCCAGGGAGGGGTCTGTGGGGAGGGGACCGTGCCATCAACACCCATATGTGTCCCCAACCCATCCCACCGCCCTACCATGCTCGTCTCGGCCACGGGATGCCTGGGGGGCATCCATCAGCTGGGGACCCCCCCCGGTGTAGGGGGTCCCGTGCTGTGAGAATGGACGGGGGAAGGTGCAGAGCTCCTCGCCGCCCGCCTCGATGGTGCTGTAAACTGGCCCCTCTCCAGACCCCGCTCCAAATTGCTCCGTCTGGGCAATGTAACGGGTGATGCCGGCATCTGCAGAAGGCAATCGGCACCGTCAGCATTGACCATGACCTCCCTCCCCAGTCCAAGCCACCCATCCCCACGATGACCACTCACCATTGTAGTATCTCTCGGTGGTGGTCCCCAAGCAGCCGGCGGCACCGGCTGCACCACCACCGCGCCATGCGTCTGCCAGCCACGGGTAACCACCACCAACGGCTGCCCTGCAAGGAGATGGGGTAAAGGGATGCCGGTAGTTGGCACTGGGGGTCCCGGGGAGAGGAGGGGTGGATATTGGGGCATTACCTGGGGCTGCTGCGTGCCGGAGCTGGGAAGGCGACTGCGGAAAGAGGTGGGGGTGAGGGCGGCGAGGGGCCGCAACGGGTCCCCGCGGCACCTGTAGGCTTACCGGTGGGCGTATAGGCGAAGGATGCTGTAAAGAGAGAGGCGGTGGGTGGCTGGTGGGGTGATAGGTGCCGGGGTTGGGGGGGGGATCCCAACACTAGCACCTTTTCCCGTACCAGTGAAGTGGCTGAGCTCCTTCTTCCTCCGGCGGCGGCCATAGAGCCAAGCGGCGAAGGCAGCGAGGATGACCCAGCAAGCGCCGCCAACGCCAGCGATGAAGGCCGGCTGCCTGGCCACCTCAGCCAAACGCTCGGCCACGCTGCTCCTGCCCACTGGCCCCACATCCCGCTCCGCCGGGGGGGCTGCAAACAACGTGGGGAAGGGGGACACACCGGCAGGGGTGCCGACGAGCCGTCCCCAGCACTGGGGTGACCCCCGCCACCCCCCCACCAATGGGTGCGGCGGCGGCGACGAGAGACTCACCGATGCGGATGGGGACAGGGGCGCTGCGGGCGCCCACGCCAGCGCCGGTGGCGGCAGCGACTTCAGCACGGTAAGGGACGCCGGGGACCAGCCCCCGCAGCACCGTCGCCAGCACTGTCCCCTCCACGCTCTGGTTGATGTGGAAGCGGCTCTCGTTGCCCAAGCACCAAATCTGGGGGCAGGGGGACATCATGACATAATGTCATGGAGGGACAGAGGGAACCTGCCGCGTCCCCGCCAGCGGTCTGACCTTACCCGGTAATCACGGATGACGCCGTTCTGCTCAGCCGCCGGCGGCGGCTGCCACGAGATGCGGACACTGGTGCCATTACCAGCCACGCTGACAGCTCGTGGAGGGGCACTGGGGGCTGTTGGAGGGGGGGACACAGGGGGGGTGTCACCTCCTGGGGGTCCCCAGGGACCCTCGCCATCCCCCACATCCCCGCACTCACCCGCCTCAGGGGTGCGCAGGGCGCGCACAGCGCTGTCGGGGCCGTGGAGATGATGGAAGTAGGGTTGGACCTTGACCTCGTAGTCCTGGCCTCGGCGCAGCTCAGTGAGCAAGGCCCCCCGTTCCCCCGGTGCCCGCACCACCTGCGCCTCCTCCCAGCGCCCACCGTGCTGCCGGTACAGCACCCGGTAGCCCTGAACGAACGGTGTTTGGTGCTCCACCTGGGGACCCGAGGGGAGGGTGGGGTGAGGCGGGGGGATACTTGGCACTGGGACCCCTGTACTGGCGGTGTGGCGCAGCACTCACGGTCCAGGAGAGGCGGACAGCACCCGGTGGCAGCACCACGGGTTCCTGTAGGTGCACGGCCACTTGTGCCAGCTCCCGCTGCACCTGCTGGGGGTCCAGCCCTTGCTGCGTGGGGCTGGTGTCTGCCAAAAAAATGAGAGGGTGGACAGACCATGGACACCTCCAGTGGTGTCAGCAAGTGGGGATGCCATGGTGACACCACATTCCCATGGTGGGTCCGTGGGAACCTCCACTGGCGTCATTAGGTGGGGATGCACTCAAAGGTTTTGGGTGCACGGGCACCTCCATCAGCATCACCAAGCGAGGATGTACCCAAGGGTGGTAGGCGCGTGGGCGCTCCCATTGGCATCACCAAGTGGAGATGCACTCAAGAGTGGTGGGTTCACGGGCACTCCCATTGGCGTCTCCAAGTGGAGACGCACCCAAGGGCGGTGGGCGCGTGGGTACCTCCATCAACATCACCAAGCAGAGTTGGACCCCAGGGTGGTGAGTTCACAGACACCTCTGCCAGTGTCACTGCTGGGTCTCACCTTGGGTGCGCACAGGCTCCGAGATGCCGCTGGGGTCACTGAGCCCGTAGGCGTTGACCGCCCGCACCAAGAAGAGGTAGACGGTGTCGGGGACGAGGCCGCTCACCGTGTGGGTCTCACTCTCCACGTCGGCTGCCACCGTCTGCCATGGGCCACCCGCCGCCTGGCTGCCAGGGTACAGGGGTGACCCATGGTGGGGTGGCACCGGGCCACCGCATCACCCCTGCACCCAGAGAGGACGCTTGTGTGATACCTGAAAGCCTCCACTATGTAGGAGGTGATGCCGGCAGCACCGCTGTCCTCATTCCCTTTCCAGCTCAGGGTGACGCTGCTTTTGGTGATGTTGGTGACCACAGGGGTGGAGGGTGGCCCAGGGAGGACACCGGGCTCGGGGGAAGGCAGGGAGAGGTCGGATTCGTCACCTGCAGGGAGATGCGTGGAGATCTGGGGTGGCTTTGTCCCCAGTGCCACGGTGTCCCCAGCGCAGTGACGTCCCCGTGACCCACCTCGCACCTCCAGGGAGCCGCCCCAGCGGGTCTCGCCCGCCGGGCTGGTGGCCACGCACTCGTAGTGCCCGGAGTCCGTCACCTGCGAGGGGAAGAGCTCCTGCCCCATCACCCCTCGCACCCGCCACCCCTCGCACCCGCCTCCTTTGCACCCACTGACCCTCGTAACCATCACCCCTCGCGCCCACCACCCTTTATGCCCACCGCCCCTCGCATCCACAACCCTGGGCGCACATCGCCCTTTGCACCCACCACCCGGAGCTCCCGTCCCCATGAGCACCCACAACCCTGAGCACCCACCATCCTGAGCACCCGTCTCCCTTTGGTCCCACCACCCTTTTCAACCACCACCCTGAGCACCCACTGTCCCCCTTCCCCACACCTGGAGCCCCTCCCGTCCCTGCAGTGCCACCCCATGGGTGCCCCCCCCGGGAGTGGGTGCCCTGAGCCCCCGCTCCGGACCGGCTCACCCGGAGGCTGGTGATCTGCAGGGTGCCGTTCTCCAGCAGGCTGGCGCGGGGCTGGGCACCTACCAGGGTGCTCCCATCCTTCAGCCACCCCACGCTGGCCGGGGGGTCACTGCCCCCCACCCAGCAAGGCAACCGCGCCGTGGCCCCCACCGGCAGCACCGTCCGGTTGGCGGGACCCCGGCGGATCACCGGCGGTCGCTGCTCAGCCAGCGCTACGGTGGAGAGGGGTGGGGGGAAAACCGGGAATTCCTCGGTGCTGGGATGGGTGCCGCTGGTGCACCAAATGCACCCGTTGCCTGCCGGCCTGGGACTTACCCTCTTCCACCTCCAACCGCGCCTTGGCCAGCACGCTGCCGGCCACGCTGATGGCCTGGCACAGGTAATAACCGGCGTCGGTGGGCTGCACGTTGGCGATGGTGATGGCGCCGCTGGGGCTCACCGAAAAGCGGCTGGTGGGCTGCAGGGGCTGGCCGGGGAACAGCAGGGTCTGGGGGGGGGGAGGGAAGGGTGAGGAGGGCGGCTGAGTGGGGGAGGGCGGTGGAGGGGATGGGGAGAGGATGGGATGGGATGGGATGGGATTGGGATTGGGATTGGGATTGGGACTGGGATTGGAATGGGGATGAGGATGGGATGGGGATTGGGATGGGGACAGGGATGGGATGGGGATGGGAGGGGATGGGGTGGGATGAGGATATGGGATGGGGATGAGATGAGGATACAGGATGCGGTGGGATGGGATGGGATGGAGATGGGGACAGGGATGGGGATGGATGGGGACAGGGCTGGGGACAGACCTGGCTACCCTCCTTCTGCCAAAACACGGCGGGCGGCGGGTTGCCCTTGCTCTGGCACTGGAAGGTCACGCTCTGGCCGGGGGTGACAGTCTGGTCGCGGGGGCCAGTGACGAGCTGGGGGGGCACTGCCACAGCGCGGGGAAAGAAAAGGGCTTGCCCGGCCGCTTTGCCAGCACCCACGGGTGCTCCCTCAGGGACCCCCCCTTACCGTGCACGGTGAGGGTGCCCGACGCCTCCGACCTGCCCACACTGTTGTCGGCCACGCAGGTGTAGGTGCCCTCGTCCTCCGCCCGCAGCCGGCTGATCCGCAGGGTGTTGTCGGGCAACACCTCCCACCTGGAGCGGGGGCGGGGGGAACGCCACGAGGCCGCGGCACCGACAGGGTGCCGGGGTGCCACGAGGGCACGGGGTGCCGTGGGGATGTGGGATGCGATAGGGGTATGGGATGTGATGGGGATGTGGGATGTGATGGGGATGCAGGATTCCATGAGGATATGGGATGTGATGGGGATTTGGGATGCGACGGGGATGTGGGTGCTCTGGGGATGTGGGATGCGATGGAAATGGGGGATATAGTGGGGATGCGGGATTCGTTGGGGATACAGGATGCGATGGGGAGGCAGGATGAGATGGGGACTTGGGATGTGTTGGTGTGGGGGTATGATGAGGATGTGGGGTGCAAGGAAAATGGGAAATGCAATGGGGATATGGGATGTGACGAGGATGCGGGATACAGTTAAGATGCAAGATGAGATGCGGATAGAGGATGCAATGAGGATTCGGGATGTGATGGGGCTGCGAGGTGCAATGTAGATGGGGGGGTGCGATGGAGACATGTGACGTGCGATGGGGACGCAGGATGCGATGAGGACGTGGGATGCGATGGGGATGAGGCTGCAGGACACAACAGGGATATGGGATGCCATGGGGATACTCGACGCCATGGAGATGCGGGCTGCGACGGAGATGCAAGACGCTCCGAGCGCACCAGGCTGCCACCCGGCTGCACCCCGGACACCCCCACCCCAGCCCTGGCACCCGCCACCCATGCCAGCCCCCTTGCCCACCGCTTACCTTCCCGGAGGCATCTTGCCCTCCTCCTTGCGCCAGCGAGCCGCGGGCTGGGGGTCCCCCACCACCTCGCAGGGAAACTCCACCGTCCCCTCCACCAGCACCGCTTTGTTGAGGGGCCTCTTGCCGAACGCTGGGCGCTCTGCAGGGGCGGCCGTCAGTCCTGCCGGGACGGCACCCGCCCCCGACGCCCCAAAAATGACATCCCCATCCCCACGCACCGAAGACCACTAGCTCGGCCGGCTCGCTGTCCCTCTCCCCCACCACGTTGGCGGCCACGCAGACGTAGACGCCGGCATCGCTCTTACGGGTGCTGGCCAGCATCAGCTTCCCACCGCGGATCTGCCAAGGCAGCCCGGTTCAACCAGAGCGGGGGGGCTCAGCCCTCCCGCCCCCCAGGTTTTGGGGGGCACCCCCCCCCATATCCCTCACCGTCAAGCGCTCGTCCTCGTCGCTGAGGCGAACGCCGTTCTTCTTCCAGGAGACGCTGGGTTCGGGGTGGCCGCGGGGGGGGACACACTCCAGGACGGCCGGTTCGCCCGCCGCCACCACCACGTCCCCGGGGGGCTGCCGGAAATCATCCCGCAGCACTGGTGGGGGGCGGGGGGGTGTCATGACATCAGCCCTGCCTCAGTTTCCCCATCCCTGCACCCCTAATGCTGGGGACCCCCCCTCCTCCCAGCACGGAGATACCAAAGCTGAGCGATGCTGCAGTTCACGTCGGCAGGACCTGGATCCGACCGTTGATGCGGGGTGTAACACTGGCCCCCCCCCAGATCTAGCCCTGTCCCCCCCCAGAATAATCCCTGGTGATTGAGCTAAACTCACAGCCGGCTCTAAGCCCGGTCTGGATTTAACTCCGGCATCATCCCGGCCCTCGGTTTGAGCCTCAGCGGGTGGCACCCCCGAGGGCCGAAGCTTGGGGTGGCACCGGCGATGTTCTTGTCATTGGTTTTAGTGTATCGGCACTTATTTTAATTTATTTGCAATTATTTGAATTTATTTTCAAATACTTCCAGTGCTTTTCCCTTCTTTTCAATGATTTTTGTTTCTTTTTGATTTTAATTTCTTTTTGATTATTTTCCTTTGTTTTCACTTCTTTTCCCTTCTTTTTGTTTCTTTTCTATTATTTTCACTTATTTTCAATTATTTTAACTTTTCACTTCTTTTTTTCACTTATTTTTCTTTTATTTTCCCTTCTTTTCATTTCTTTCCCTTATTTTCAATTATTTTAACTTCTTTTCATTTGTTTTCCTTTACTGTTACTTCTTTTCTTTTACTTTTACTTATTTTCATTTATTTTTACATATTTTTCTTTCTTTTCTCTTATTTTCACTGACTTTCATTTCTTTTACCTATTTTCATTTCTTTTCCCCTATTTTCAATTATTTTAATTTCTTTTCCTTTCTTTTTCCTTCTTTTTGCTCAGCAGCGCCAGGCCTGAGGATTTTGCAGCCCCTCATCCCCTGAGCTGCCGCACCGGGCTGGGCTCTGTGGTGAAACCAGGACCCCCCCAACCTTCCCCAAGCCCTCCCTGCTGTCCCCCCGTGTCCCCCCCAGGCGACTCACCAGCCACCTCCAAGGATGCATTCCTGCTGGTGGCCTCCCCCAGGTAATTTCTGGCCACGCAGACATAGACCCCCTCGTCGGGCTTCCCCCGCCGGCCATGGAGGATGCGGAGGAAGAAGAGGGACCCCCCCGGCAGGAGGGTGCGGTGGGAGCGGGGGTCCTCCCGGTCCGTCTCCACCCGCTCCCCATCTTTGTACCACTCCACCGCCGGGGATGGGCGCCCTTCGGCTTTGCAGCTCAAGGTGGCCGGTTCCCCCTTGGAGACCAGGAGATCCGTGGGGTGCTCCACGATACGGGGTGCCATGTCCTCCAGCTGAGGGTGGGACCCTGTTTAGAAAATAGGGGGGGGTGGTCCCCGTGACTTCCCCCAGGGAGGCGGGGCAGGGGGTTTTGCAGGGCTGAGCAACCCCCGTCGGGTTTCACGGAGCTTTCCTGGCACCATCACCTGCTTTGCTTAGTGAGCAGGAGGTGAGATGAATTGTGGTCAGGCCTCAGCCCAGTGTCTCCCCCACCACCCAACCAGGAGGTGAGATGACCAGGCGGTGAGATGAAGTGTGGCCAGGTCTCAGCCCAGTGTATTCCCCCCACCCCAGGGTGGGTGCTGGTGTGGTGGGGAGCAGGACCGGGAGGGTGTCAGACCTCGGACACACCGGGGGACGAGGACAGGGGGACAAAGCAGCTCTGCTCCCAGTAATGCCCCTTTTCCACCCAGTTTCCAACTGGGCATCCCTGCGGAAATGGGGTTGGGGCTAAATTCTCCCCAAAAGGGGATTTTTTCCCCTGGTTGCAAATGATGATTTTCTACAGCAGAGCTGGTAACTCCAGACTGGAGAAACCGCTTTATTTTAAGTTAAAAAAACCCAACCATATTGGGTCTGTGGGGCTGTTCCAGGAAAATCCCCACCCTTAGGGCATGGGAATTAATGAATGCTCATTAATGTTGGGATAATTAATGCTCATTAACGCTGGGGTCTAACTGGCTGGGTCTGGCTGGCATGGCCCACCCGTGTCCCCAAGTGCCACCCACGGCTGGCACTGCACTTCAGGCTGTGCTCACTGAGTGTCACTGCTGTCCCAGAGACGGGCTGCACGCCCACGCAAGTGCACACCCAGACACACACACAGATTGCACACGCATGTGTGTGTGTGCACAAACATGCACATGCATGAACGCACGTGCAGCCAGGCACGGGCACGGATGCATGCATCAGCTACGCCTTTGCGCACAAACGTGTGCTTACAGACACGTGCACACGGCAGGTGCACACACTCGTGTGTGCACGCACATGCTTACGTGCATGTGCAGATGCATGCACGCGTGCGTTCACACAGGGGTGTGCATGCACTTACGCAGCAGCATGCACACGTGTGTGCATTCGTGGAGGGGTGTGCATGTACACACACACAGAGGTACACGCACACACATGGGTATTCGCACAGGGGTGTGGGTGCGGACACAGACGTGCATTTGCACACGCGCATTTGCACATGCACGCAGGGTGCGCATCCATGCATGTTCACACACGTGTTCCGATGAGGCGCACAAGCCTGCACTTACCCTCGTCCCTGCGTATCTGCACACGCATGCACACACACGCCTGCAGCTCCACACATGCACGCCGCACTCATGTTTGTCCCCCCCCATTTGCACACGCGTGTACACGTGTTCCTGTCCCAGCTCCCGAGTGTTGCAGGGAGGGGTGGGCTGTGATTTGGGGCGCCCCAAGCAGCTGGGATGCGTTGCCATGGGGACGGGATGCAGCTGCCATGGGGACGGGGGGGGGGGGGGGCTGTGGGG